CTACTGTAGAGTTGCTAAGAAGACATAGGTTATGCAAAGCATGCTTGGATTTTGAATGTTGGGAAGTGTTTTGGGTTGACTAGGTGGTTTTTACTCACACCTAACATGTCGATCTCTTTGCTTTTAAATCAGTGCTAGGCTCAGTGCCAAACACACAGAATATCCAAGTACATCTCAACTTACAGACCTCTGGTACGCTTGAAATGTAAGCTGGCGTCATAGAATTTGTGTTTGTCTTGGGGAAGTGCTTGCCTCGGTGGCCTCCTTTTTGGTGAGTTCGTTGTGCCCTTGTCAAACACAGCTCCACACTTAAATCCCTGAGGTTCGCTCGTCGGCCAGAAGCTTAGTTCTTCGTGTTGTGTCCCAGATGCATAGTTCAAAACACAAGTATTCAGATCAGAGCTGATGTTCATTCAGCTGGCACAAGCATGCTGCACGCCAGGAAAATATACCCCTCAACGATCTTTGGTACTCAGCAAGGCAAAAGAAAGAGGGACTGCAAGCAAATGCTCATTCATTTCTGATAGGAGGCTAAGGTCCAAGATCTTATCAGGAACATTCAGGAAAAGAATGATTTACATGAATGGTAATTTTTTCGTAGTACTTTGGTGCCAACTGCAAGGGCTCATGTGATGCTACAGATGTTCCAGTGTAGTCGTTTATTCATGACACGTTAATGACTGCTGAGATCAATTTTGCTTCCATGGATGTGGGAAAAGTTTCATGAGCTTTCATAGATGCAAAAGAGTGGGATGTCCTCTTCACCTGTGCTAGCAGGGTCAGTTGAGAGATATTTGTATCAAAGGGGTGATCTGAAAGACTAAGTACAGGCTTTGCTTCCCTGGCAGAAGTATGAAGATACTGGGTGAATTTGTGTCTTAGTCCAGCTGCAAGGAGTACTGCCTAGAGTGTAATTCTGTCTGGGTTGTTTAAAGTACAGAGATAGCATTGCAACAAATAGCGTTTTCCCTGCTTTGAGGGAAATTTATATTGAGTATTTTCCCTCTTTGCAAGCTTCAGTCAGCAAAACTCAAAATACTTCCTTCAGCTCACTGAGAGGTAAGCTGGGCACTTGCTTTGTTCTAGTTTTATTACTAGATCTCTAGCCCAATCATTGTGCAGACTGTTTAGATGACAGTTAGCTCTTTTAAACCATCAGTATTTTAAGAATAAGCCGGACAATGACACATTTGAATATTAAGGCTAGGATTGTCTCAGCTTTTAGTGGGTGCCGATCAGATTGGCTTGTGAGATTGCATTTGAAGGTCACAGGAGCAACCCCTCTCTGGTACCTGGCTAAAAGGGACTAAAACGCAATGTAGGTCTGTTACATGACCTGGCAAGTGCGGACATCACCATCATGTGACCAGACACATTTGTAAATCAGTAATGCCAACGTGTTAATAACATAGTGCAGCGAAGGGGTGTGCTGCCGTCCGATGAGCTAGCCTCGGTAGCAGCGCTTCCAGAAGAACGCATGCCTTCCATCCTGCTGCTTTTTCACATCCAAGATGTGACTAAAGAGAATAAAGAAGATTGAAAGATCAGATTGGTGTCTGAATGAATTTTTTCTGTTGTTTGTGTTAATAACTATAGAATGAACAGCCTCTGAATTTTAGTAATTGCGTTGTGAACCTGTTTTGAGATGATCTCATTGCTGTCGTCTTCTAGGAGGAATGTCAGTTTTTCTTGTCTTATCTAATATTTTTGGGCTTTATTGATTGAAGTAGTATAAACTAGCAATAGTATTAATGAAAGCCTTTCCTGCATGGCTTCTTCACAGACCCGTGGTGAATTATCAGTCCTTTAGTCTTTTGTGATAGATCTGATGCAGACCATAGAAAAACTACAAAATAGAGGTAGTTGCCGTGGCTGGCTGGTTTCCTTTAGGGTGAAAGAGATGAGAGGCACCCATGAGAGTTGAGCACCTCCAGGCTGCTCAGGGCTGAGCATCTCTTGTGAAGCATTCACACAGCGTGTTTACCGGAGGGTGGGGTACGGAAAGGCTCAGTGTACAGGTCTAGTCACTGACACCCACAGAACAGGGAAAATAATTTCCCCATTCATTGCCTAGGCAGTACCCCCAAACTGTCACAGCTTGCATTGTTATGCTAAAGAGAAATAAAAGTTCACATTGAAGATAAAATGGACCTTTTATTTAAACAATCACTCTGCTTATGTAACAGCGCTCTTAATGGTGAAGTACAGCTGGAGCTTGGAACACGTTGTTTACAGAAATGTCACGTAATGGGTGCCAATGTAAAATGTGGTAAATGGCGCTGAAGGCAACAGGCATGGAGAGAGAGGGGAGGCTGGGAACAGTGAGCGCCTGTTTGCGAGGATGCGATGTGCCGCCTTCCTGAGAGCAGGTGTGAACCACGCTTTTGCCACGCGAGGGGAGCGGGCTTTGTCACGGGCTTTGTCAGAGCCGTTTGTAACGAGCCGTCGCAGGAAGGGCAAACTTCTCAGAGCGAGGACGGGAGAGAGAGAGGGCCTGGGAGAGGTGAGCTGGCCCAGCACAGACAGTGACTGTAGGGAGGATTTCAAGAACTGGCAAAGGTGGAGGGGGCTGTGACTGTAAAGACTTGGTGTGACAAGGAGAAACAGGAGGTAGAGAAGACAGAAATGATGACGCTCTGCAACTTTTTCACACTGAGATTACTGTAATTGTATTTTCATGCATAGGAGAAAGGCTGCTGAATAACCTTGCTCTTCTCTTTCTTGAAATGGTAACCACTGACTAATAGACACGCATGTGAAAACACATACACACTCACACCCACACAAACGTGCAGTTGCGCAAAATTAGGAAAATTGCCCAGCTTTCTTCTGAGATATTCAAGGTTTGACAGAGCGAGCTCTGACTCAAACAGTGTTAACTGAAACTGGGTGCGTGGCAGTCAACCAATGGCATCTGCTCTCCAGCATGTTCATTTTCTCTTCTTTCCTTGAGACAACTCATAAGTTTTGTATGCATTAGCAAAAAAATAGAGCTACAGATTTAAGTGTCGTTTTTTTTGTAATATGTTGAACACTTTGTCTAATTTGGAGTGAAAAAATGGACCTATGGACTGTTTTCTGTGGTTTACAGCAACCTCAAGGTTCATACTTAGACATTATATGAATGACGAAAGTAAGTTGTAAATATTCATTACTTGGTGGAATTGTATTTTTTTCAAAAGCACGTCTTTGTACACAAAACATTTGTAGATCCCCATTAGAGGTATTTGTCCCCACATCAAAATTCCTCATTTGCAGCCAACCAGATACCTTAGCTTAGATCTTCCTCCTACATGTAATGGAATCACAGTGCTGTCACAGGCATCATAGCCATTTTTGTAAAATATGTTAAGGAAGACTGAGTTCATTGTACTATACATATGTAAATGCCTCTCTTTCAATAGTCTCAGGGGACAGAAGATGCCAGAAAGAATTCCCAACCAGCGTACATACTAATTGTCACCACCTTTCATGGGATAGTAAAGTGCATTCATACAAAGAAAAGCATTAAGAATCAAGGAGGCTGCACAGGGAAAGTGAGGGCATTTGAGTGAGACTTAAGGAAGTCACATGGTAAATT